AGTAAAATGAAAGTCCGTGCACATTTTGATTTTAACACTGATGTTGATCCTTACATTCCATGCAAAGAAGCCGGTCTAAGTTTTACCAAAGGAGAAGTACTTCATATCGTTAGTCAGGATGATCCTTATTGGTAATTTATAATAATAAAAAAAATTTATTTATGATTGGTTAATTCAATTTACAAATCTAGGTGGCAAGCCCGGAAAGAGGGAGACCGTAATATGAGAGCTGGACTTATACCAAGTAAAGCTCTACAAGAACGTAAAATAATTCATGAAAGATTGTCAATGAGCGATCAAAAAAAGAAATGTAAGTTGAAATGTTTGTTTAATATTTCTAATACAAAATAAATATAGTTAAATAATCATAATTTGTTCACATTAACTTTGTTTGTTGATAAAGTGAATAATACAATCATTTTACTGATCAATAAAAAAAGGAATTTATTACTCCTATGACCTATCTAAAAGATTTTTTTTTATTAAAACGAAATATACTCTCGGCGATATAGGCCATTGGGTTACAAAATATTTAAAAATTGTAATAGTATATTAGGTATGTATAATATTCTATAATAGTTTTAAACTCATGTCCAAATTGTATACAGGTTTTATGTTGAAAATGGAGTTAGTTTTAATATTTTATATGAATAGCACATAAACACATAAGTGTTATGTATTGTATAAACATACCATTTAAATTTAAATAGCAGTTTKTTCAGGTTAATTTTAATAATCACCAATAAATTTAATATTGTAAAAAGTACCTATTTCTATATTTATTTTACTATCAGGTATTTTATTTTTCCTTTTTGCAGCAAATATAGTATATAGTATAGATTTTTATTAATTTAGTGTGTTGATTATCCTATTTTTTTTTATTTTTTTTTATTAACATGTTTTTTGTTTCGTAGTGTATTGTGATTAACATTTGACTTTGTTTGCGGATTACAGGGGTCATGGATACCATTAATGGGGGTTGTATTGGTGGGGGCGGTATGACATGTTTGCCAGACCGTTCATTAGCCAAAGACCCATTATGTGGGTCATTGGCCGCTCTGAACGATCTTGGCGATGACATGGCGTCCGAATGTTCGGTACGTACACGTGTTAAAAAAGTTATCTATGACGCAGCTGAAAGTGATGACTATGACCGTGAAGATATTGCTACATATGAAGAGGTGGTTAAGTTGTATCCAAGAAATGAACTTCCTCGACCCATTGTTTTAATTGGTCCACCTGGTGTTGGTAGAAATGAGCTGAAGAGACGTATTATGGAACTTAATCCTGACAAATATCACACACCTGTACCACGTGAGTAGAGGACAAATATAAATATTTTCAAAACCCTGTTTACTTTTTGAATTCAGTAACATATATTTTTCCCAAATAAAATTTCTAAATGGATAGGTCGATTCTAAATATTTATTTTAATATCTCAAACAGTACCTTTTAAAAATTATTCAACTGTATTACATATTTATGAATAGTAATTACTATAATTAGTTTAGTTAGGTATTTTAGTTAAATTATTATGTGTTTATTGTACTTATAGAAAAATAATGTTTAAGTATAGTTTATTGTTGAAATTATTGATACAATAGAAATATTTTTATTTACTGTAGATACATGAAAAAAATGTATATTACTTAATTCACTTTATAGATACATCCAGATCTCCTCGGCCTGGAGAAGTAAATGGCAAAGAATATAATTTTGTCTCAAGAGAATTGATGGAAGAACAAATAGCCCGTGGTGAATTTCTAGAATTTGGTGAATACAAAGGCAATCTTTATGGGACATCTTTAGAAAGTGTTAGATYAATCATACGTTCCGGACTTACGTGTATTATAAATCCACATTATCAGGTACAATTCAAAATTCATGTTTTTATTATAACAGGCAACAGCTATTTTCAATGTATAAAATAATGATTAACTGTTGAAGGCATTAAAAATGTTACGCACCCCTGATATAAAACCTTACATTGTATACATCAAGCCACCAACATTTGACATATTAAAATCAACTAGAAATGCAGCATTTGCTATGTCAACTTTTGATGAAACAAATTCTAGAGGTTTTACAGTAAGTGAACATTGAAAAAAAAAATTTAATATACTACTTGAAAACATATTTAGGATGATGAGTTCAATGAGATATTAAGGAGTTCAAAACGAATAGAATTTCTTTATGATCATTGGTTTGATGAAGTAATAGTAAATGATGATTTCAAGTCAGCTCTAGAGCAATTATTAGAAGCTGACCATAAATTAAAAACTGAACCACTATGGGCACCTGCTGCTTGGTTACAGTAAATTTTTACAGTAAGTATATAATTTTTGTTTTTTAGTATTAAGTGAATACTTAACTATTATAGACTAATATATAATTTTTATCAATAGTTATGCGCAGAAACTAGTCAATCATTCTTAATCCGCCACCAAATCAATATTTATAAATATACAGTAGAACACATCAAACTTCAAACAAATAAAAAAATGAAATGATTAACCATTTTGTTCTAATTTTGAATGGATGTAGTCATATAATTTTAATAGATTTTAAAATAATAATATAATAGTTAGAAGATTACTTAGTATAAAATACAGCTCTTTACACACAATAATTTATTTATGCTTTTAGAAACAATGTTAAATAACTTTTAATAATATGCTATTTACGGTTGTGAAATTTATTTTAGATTATAACTAATCTATTTTTACCCATTTCTAGTCAATAATTTTTTAAATCCCACATTCATTGAGATTTTATTGGTAAGTCTTAGGTCTTACAAGTTATGTTTTCTGATACTTTATCATTACTAATTACTTAGTGTAGAAATATTAAGCCAGTTTTTGGGAAATGTATTTTATTATAATACAAGTTATATTATTGTCAAATAGAATTTACAGCATACTTGATTAAAAATCATACACACAACACACCAGACTTATACCAACAATGCTTAAGTGTTGTTCAAATTTAATTTTGATACAAGCTGTATGATGAATTGATGACATTATTTAAAGATAATATTTTAAGTACACTGTTATTATTGTTGTATTTCATTCATATTTCATGATGTGGCCTCATGCCAATGGAACAAATAATTATATTTGTTTTAAAATCTTATTGAATTAAGTTTTAAATCTATTTTACAGCCTAATATGAAGTTGAAAATGTATGAATTATTTACTAACTTATTCTAATGATGAAATACATTAATATATTAGGGTACACTTGTTGAATAATTAATTATGTTATTGTAACTTTTTTTTTTCTTTAAAAAAAAAAAAAAAAATGTTTTAATAGTTTATACAGTGATTTTTAGAATATTGATGTGAATTTTATGTATTTTGAACATTTAATAAAATGTTAATTTAAATCATACTTACTTACCACTGTTTTATTCTATGTATATTCCTAGTTTAATTTTTAATTGTGCATGAATGAATTTACCATTTCAATAAATGTTTTGCATTTACCATATATTAATGGAAAACAAATATTGAAGTGCAATGTGGTGTTTAAAGTGTTATACCAGCTATAAAGCATATTCCTCATTAAAAAGGTCAAAATACGACAAAAGAAAACACTGTCCAATCAGCAGTTACATCAATTACTGAATGACCAATTCTGTTAATCATCCGGCCATCAATGCAGTACAATTTGTACTAACTACTAACTTAACTTATTATTAATATTTTAGGTTTTTTTTAATTAGAAGGAAAGTTAAACAATAATGAACAATTGTGCCTTAAAGGCAATATTATAATTTGGCTGTCTTGAGCAGGGGTATACAGGCTCGGATTGAAGTGGCGAACTAAAAAGAAAACTCAGTGAGGTACTCAAAAAAAAAATGCCAATCGTAAGTGTATGGACCATTATTTCATACCACAAATCTAAATGCATTCATTTATTTACCTCTGTACATTTCTTAAAATCTAGGTTAATTTAGAAATGTTCATTTGTAAATGGGCCGCTTAAAAAACTAGGTGGATCGATACATTATCTATCCAGCGCTGAGGCGGTCTTAACTCGCAGTCCGCAGTAAATTAAAAGTATTAAAATATTAATTTCTATAAACATCAATTTTTTATAAATATTAACTTGAGAAAAAAATTATACAATATTTAAAAATAAAATAAACTTAAGAATGATTAATAGTACCTATATGAATGTATAATTGTTATTGTAATCAGATTGTGATCACTCTATGGTATAATTTAAATAAAATGTATTATAAAAATATTTACTACGTTAACATGATACGAGTTTAACTGTTCTTAATTGAAACCGATTTTATTATGAGTCAACCTAAATTTTCTGACCCGTTTACATGTGAGTCTTAATAATATTAAGTCAGTATGTTATAATATTCATTATTTTTGAAAATATGTTATCACTTATCAAAATAAATGTGATCGATTTAGAGTGTTTACATGTACAAAAATACACCCGGACTTTATTTATTAAACCGAATTAATTTGGTCAAATCACATATTTGAGTGTCCTTAAAATAAAAACGGTTTATGTTATTAAGGTCGCTTTAAAGCGTTTACATGATGCATGATTGTCGCTTTAGATTTTAAACCGACTTTAATTGTGCATGTAAACGTAATAACAGATATGTGTGCACCATGATAACTTCTACTTGCTTAAATTAATCTAGCCTCACTAACAAATTGGATGCCCTTGATCTTGAGATAAAAATATTCTCAATAACTATTTAAAAAAATTATCACTAATAGTTGAGCCGTAAAATGTGTTTTATTGCATACAGTAAAAATATGGCACAAGAATTACAAAAAATATTTATTTAAAACAATCAGTTTTGATACTCGGTAAGTTGCTAATMAGTGATACAATAATGATGCATTTATCAGGATTATTATTTCAAAATAGATATTTTAATTTTTATAAAAGTAGTGATAATTTACAAAAAGGCTTGGACACATCAATTTATTATATACTCATAAAAATACAATATTACATTTATTGTTCTATATTTAAGTGAATTCAAATAATTTACAGGGTATAATAAGATAAAAAGTACCTGATTACCATATTTACTTAATTCATTATTATAAATAAGTAATTTACGTTGTCATATTAATGAATTTTAAATTCTACACGTATTTTCAATGATAATGTTTATGAAATATTTACTTTATATACAAACTTCCAAACGTGTATCAATTTGTTACAATTCTTGATTTATCTGTCTTGTATCTCCTTTAGATGGAGATACTTCATCTAAGCATTTTTGATCAGAATCCTTTAATGCACGGTTTTTGCATAAATAACTTCTTAAGCTTTCAGCTTGATCATTAAAATACCATTGCTCTATATCTGATTCGTAGGTTTCCAATAAATCTTCACACTTAAATTAAAATATACGTTAGTATTTTAAACATTTATCATTTTAAACTATTACTTACCTGAGTTTTCATGTTTGTAATTTCAACTGAAGGTTTGTCCCAAAGTTCATATGGTATTCCAAGCTCAACTTTTACACCTTTATTCCTAATAACAGACAAATGTATTTAGAATTCAAAAGTTACATGCTGCAAAGAATTTATAATAATATTGGCTAACTTACACAAGGCCATGTAATGTTTGAAAAGTTTGGCTCATTCCTTTAGCAAATCGTGTACTATCGGTCCTTTCTTTATGAATATTATATTTAAGTATTCTTTCACAAAGACCATCTAGTGATTCGACTAAACGTAGTTCCCTAAATGACATAATATAAATAATATATTTTATATAAACCAAGTGTAAAGCATTTATGATATTCTATAACTTACGATTTTTTGTACTCTTTTTTCTTTTTTGGCAGATCAATTGAATAACCAAGCTCCAAATATTCACTCGTCTTACCGGTTTCCTGTAGACGACCCTCTAATTCTTCCGCTAATATTTTACAAACTAAAACAAAACACAACATAGCGTATGTTAATAGTTGAAAACTATTAGCCAGTAAAGGTAAAAATAATAATACATTTTAATTATAATCACAAACCTTCACATTTATTAGCATACTTAACACCATCCTCTGATGTAGTACTGAATGATTCAGCTACAAACAACATGAAAACTATTGACTTTATTAACAAAATCATTTTAATGAATTGACTAGATGGTTACTTAACAATACATAATTATACTATACTCAACATTGTTGATTAATTACAGTAAATTATAAGCTTAACCGATTATCGAATACTAAGGCCCTAACCCCTAAGGGTGTTATTATTTAAAAATCGATTTTTTAATTTTCAATACTCGAGGCTTCTAATTCGGCAGGATGTAAGAACCAAAATCGAGCGCTGATCAACAACCTATACAATACAATTTAAATTTTATTAAATGAAACAAAAAAATATTTATCTTCTTATCAACGTTATCTTCGTTATCACAGAATAAAAATTTATCAATAATATAAATAATAGATAAAAATTAACTACAGTCATGGCTTAAGATAAAGTTTATCTTAAGCCATGACTACAGTCTACAATGTTTTTATTTTTTGGAGATATTTTCTTTCTCTTTAAATTTTAATATTATAATCTTTACACGTGGTGTCTACAACACATTTATGTCCTTTATGACTACAGACTATTATAACATTGACCGTAGTACTTTGCTATAATCGAATTAATAATTATAAAAATAGTGTATTTAATCAATTGTTTCTGAATAATAAATTAGCAAACAAAAAAAATAAATTATTATGTCTTATCAAGTCTTAAATTGGAAAGTTGTTTATTCTATTTTAACTGCTATATATTTGTTCTACATAATATTTGAATTCACAAAATGCACAGTAACTTTCTTTCAATAATTAACGTTTAATAGATATTTCTTTAAGTACAAAAATATATAATATGTAATACAAAACTAAACACAGGAGCTATTTATCTCTGAAGTCTTATCTGTATTTGACACCAACCTATTTGAGCATTTCCCGAGTTTTTATTAGATAAAACTATACTTATATAATATTAAATTTCAGATAAATTAATTCATGATTAAAACTAGTCAATAATAAATATTAAGAATGTGAATAATATAGGTATAATCAATTTTAAACTAATTTCTTAATTTTCATCCTTTATTATTTAACAATATTAGCTCTTCTGAAATCGTCTGTGCGTTTTTTGTAAGTTATAAACATTGCCCAAAAGAAGCCAACCATGTTATGGAACAACACTCGTAACTAGAATCAAAATTTGAATTAATCAATTAATGTCAATAAATCAATTATAAAAAATTTACCATTGGAGGTACAAATTTAACGTTAAAGAACTGGACCAATGAGACAATCTGCCAATTTGCTTTTAATATAGGCCAGTAAATTGCATATATTTGCTTCATTGTGTCTTCATGCGATTTTCCCTATAACAATTCATTATTATTATAGTATTGTATTCAGTAGTTATTATGCAAATTATTAATTTCATACCTCGAACCTTGACAACACATACAATGAAAGAAATTGATAAAATGGTGTAAATAACAAACGTTCAATACCAAATTTTAAAAAAACCATTTTAGATGAATTTTCTGGGAAAGTGCTTTCTAAAGATTCGTAGAAAAAATGTGGCACTGGTCCACCAAATAAGAGACTGAAAAAAAGAGTGACCACTGCATTAATATTGTAAGTATTAAATACAAAAATTACACTTTAATTTAAAAATAAATAACATTTATAATGTTTAGATTTTTTGTTACCCAAATAATCCAAAAGCCACAACACTATCCTGGTCAATCATCTTAGCTCCAGCAATGTTTTGTAAAGTAATATTTCCAAGTGATGCAATAATACAACTAAAAAAAAATGTTTAATAAAAATACCACTCATGTTTTCTTATTAAAAAATAATACCTGGTAATCGACTTTGTGCGAATGGGTCTTGAATTCAAGCGTTCCAAATAGGTCAATACTAAACCTTCTAAAAATTCAGCCGGTTTTGAAAGTGCCATTTTGAAAAATAAACCAATTGCTGTATGTTAATACAATCTGTAAAAATACACAAATACATCTGAAATGTAGTTGTATTTATTTAAACAGGTATAGACAGGATTGTATACATTAAAAAAAATCAATTGTGTTTGCTTATTCTAAATTTAAACGTTTCACAGTGATATATAATATATACGAAATAAACAATAATACCTATTTGCTGAAATTCCTATAGACTTAAAAAAATAATAAATCGAAAAAATTAATTAGGAAATGCATCAAAACATTTTGGATTGGACGCCGAATTCCACAAGTGAGTGTGAACTAGCTATGAGATGTTTAGTGTTTAAATTTTACTTTCCAACGTGACATCGGCACATCGCACATCGCACGTTCTCATTTCCTATCAAAATATTTCCTATCTCAACTTTCTGGGTCATATGTAATCATTGTTGTTTACGAATACTTCCAGAACACTAGATCGTGCGACGTGTATCGTTTTTCAAAAACAATTAACAGGACGCTACACCTGCATGACGTGTTTTCACCGTCTTACGACAAAGCAAAAACTATTTAGGTAAACAATTATTATGTACTTAAAAATAATTAGTAATAATGAGTTGACAATAGAAGAATTATTAAATCACATAGGTCATTGTTTGAGGAAACGTAATAATTTATATTTAATAATAGTAATTAGTGTAGACTGTAGAGTGTACGGATGTTTGTATTGACTTTTGTTTAAAACGTAACATTACTTCACTGATCGATATTTGTATGATTAATAATGAATAAAATAAATGTAGTTAAGTTTAAGGAAATGTAATCTAATCCAAGTTTAATGTATTAATATAGTAATAATAGTTATAATTATATTTTTTAAATAAATATTTATTAACTGTATACGTCTATACGTATATAAAATACCTACCTATATATAATATTAATAATTTATATGTATAATATAATTATGAATAAAAATGTAATAGAATATTTTGTTGATGGCCTTTTTGTATAATATTTTTCAAAATAGCCTTTTTGACCGATTATCATAAAATATAATATACACACAACTATGTTTATTAATTATTACCTATTATTTTTTTTTGTTTTCATTAATTAACCCGCGACAACATAGTCCATTGGGTGTTCACCCATCCGGGAACTAGTGGCAGTGGCAGTGTGTACTTTAAATCACGTCGCATGACTGCGTTTGAAACAACCACGTCAAACCAAAATTATTATTTAATTTGATTAGTTAAACACTTATTATTGTTTTAAAAAAAAAAAAAATATATGTTAGGTAGGTATAGAAAGCATACAGACATATACCTATTGAATATTGATACTAATACATAATGCTCATAGAATGTATAAATAATATAATATACTATTATATGTTTATAATCATAAAGTATATATAGTTTTTAGGCTTCCTCGACAAGTCACTCTAATTGTTCTATGCTGATAGTGAACCATTTTTTTATATTTTAATTTTTTATATTGTTACACTACTCTAATATTAACTAAAATATTAGATTACCTAAATGTCCACCCTTTGGCCACCCACTAATTGTCAGTTTTCTTTTAATGTGGTCGGTACTATTGCAAGTAACCTATTTCTTTTTATTTCATAATCTGAAATAGATAGAAACCCAGTAGGTAGTAATATACATTTTTAGTAACAAATGTTCAATGTTCAATGCTTTATTATAACTCAACATTATGTATATTAATTAATTTAACATTAATAATAGTAGTAGGTAAGTACATAGAATAAATTGTAATAAATCTGTACCTATATATCCACCTACCTTTTACTGATTTTGCGTTTTGTAGGCTTCTTCGGCAAAAAGCGAAAAATATGAAATTATGCAAAGATTAGTTTACATAATTTTTTAACATTATTATTAGGAGATTTATATTTTATATAATAAAAATTAAAAAATGATTATTTTTTCAATTCTCAAGTATAATAACAATAATATATACTTAATATTTTGATTTATTAAATACTTTCCTTGTTTCATATAATATGGGTTGGTTTGTGACGATATTACCATGTTGTTGTAGTATTATAATTTATAATATAATATAACCGGCAATAGTAAATGCAGTACAGGAAACTTTAAGACATCGAAAACTTTTGATAATAAAGGGTAGGTACGTAAAATTGGTTAAATATAAATTACTAGGTTAGTAGTTACGTTGCGAAGGTTGTTATGTAATTATATATTATATACATACAATAATATATAGAGGTAGGAGTAGTCAATATTTTACAGGATGTTAATTCAGTTAATTGTAAAATTCAACTCAAAAGTCCACTTTTTTATTATTTATTTATTTAATTTTAAATCTGTGTACGAATAAAATATATAGGTATACTTAGTATAACTTATAATAACACATTTAAATATATTAAATTATTACATAGGTTAGTTCAATTGTTCAAACATGATGGAATTAATTATTTTTTATTATTATTTAATTATGGACAATTATTTTCTTTTGAATGATAACCACTCTTTTAAATACGTTATAAAATGGATACATAAAAAAGAAGGCCAGTAGAGATGTACACAGCTCTGCTGTGCATCAAGTAAACTTTAGTGTGGGTTACTGTTGTAAATGTGTTACTATAAGTAGATTTTATGTATGGTTGTTCTTTGGTAAAGTAATTTATTTTTCTATTATAGTAATACAGTAGGTTAAATTAATTTATTTTAGTTTTAACCCCCAAAGTGTTAGTTACGTACGACCCTAAAAGCTGAAGTTCAAAGTATTTTTAGTAATTTTACTGCCATTAACCATGACGTCAGATTTCCAAAAAAACACGTACACGTATATGATTGTATAACCAATACTGAATACATTCATCGCTCAGCTCAGAATATTTATAAAAGGTCGTTAATAGGGTTTGTATTTGAAGGCAAATAAATCAATACAAAAGCATTCAAGTTATTACAAAATTTACGAAAAAATTATATATATATTCCGGTTCATTTAATTTAACTAGTTTGTATTTAAAAAAAAAAAATAAGATAGGTAGAGTATGAGTACTTTTCTAAAACGATAAATTAACTTACTCGATATCACTGGACACTGATGCATATTTACTATTTAGTATGCGCTTATGTAATTGAAACAGCAACTATTATTTTTTTTTTTATTGTTCTTACGTATATAAAATTATCTCAATATTAACTGTCGCTATTGCAACAATCACGGTAATCGTTATCATATAGTTCGTATCTAGCTTAAATTACAAACATAGTAGGTAGTTACTATATCATATTCGCATAATATGTATTAAAACGTCATGTGAAATGTGTGTATTAAGAATTACGATTAAAAAACATATTTTTCATGAATAGAATGAAAATAAGAATTACATTTTATAGCTCCAACAAAAATGATTATTTAATAACATTTATTCTTTAAGAAAAAAAAAAAAGATCTCGCGTTAAGGGAAGAATATTATTTATAATTTATATATGTCAATAATAGAAATATCTGTATTTAAAATGCATGATGTCTTAAAATGTATTTATGTTTTATTTAGGACTTAAATTATGATTGATTTCAGATTTGTCTGGTCTTATCGCCGTTTGATACCTTTATATCGTTGAATTTTAAACGTGTTCTCGCTACCATAACTCATAAACTGAATATCACTTAACATCATATTATTATAGTCAGAATAACAGTGGTACACATTCATTTCAGTACTTCAATAGGTAAGTACATTATTATTATTATGTATCTATATTGTAAATTTTCAATGCATAATTATCTGAAACATAAGTACATCTATAATAGAATTTTTATGTAGCTCGATTTTAGGTTGGCCGTATAATATCTTAGCAAATTATAATCAATTAAGTTCAGTATATTATATTTTATATGGTTCTCTCAATATTATGTACCTAATTATGTTGCGTTATAATTCTTTGGGTTGTTGTATATTATAGTTTCGTGCGTTATAAAAACACAAAAATGGATGTAATGGTTTTTTTTCTCACATTAAACCGTATATAGACACTGTAATCATACATAGGTACGTGTAACGATGTACGGTGAAGGGCGCGAAATGTTTGTCGGGGTCTCGTTTCGTCTCACCTGCTGCAGTGTTATTATATACTGGTGCAGTAAGGGAAATCGTTGGACCGCAGAGCCGATCACGTAGTGCGCGGCGCGACCCCTAAAAACTTTTACCCCGCGGCCACCCACACTTGGCGCACCACAACCTCCCATTCACCCCTGTGCGCGGGTCGCCAGCCCAGACGTGACGTCACCGCAGTCGGCGTGAGGGTGTAGCGCGCCGGGGCAGCGCGGCGTGGCATGGCGCCATGCGATCGACCGGCCGGCCGGAACGACGCGGACCCTCACCCCCGTGTAGACACGGTGGCGAACCTGAAAACCTTCGCGTCTCGTCCCTGCCGCCGCGTGCACTCCGAAAATTATCATCACGGTCAAATGGTATATTCGCGACAGTCGGCGCTCCGCGTTGGAGGCATGTACGCGTGTTCACGATTCGAAAAGTGCATCGCGTCTGCAGGTCTTCCGGCGGCGGTGGTACCGTTTATGGCATTTGCCCAGCATTAATAATAATAATAATAACATTATACAATCGTATCGACCGATAGACGAGGTACGCATCACGAAACAGTGCACGCCGTAGACCGTAGCGAGTACAATAGCAACTGTGCTGCAAGAACACTTTTTTCATAACAATAATACCGAATACCACGACGATTACCGACTCGGGCTGTGCCGGTTGTGACTTGTCGTAGTGGTAACGGTGGTGTAGGTGGTGGTGGTGGTGGTGGAAAGGTGAGAAACCCGATACCGAGAAGATCTTTTATGATGTTTGGTACCTGCTTCGAGTGGTAAAAGGACGACGTCGCGATACACACTGGAGAGGATAGTACATGGGCGGGGAGGACGTGTTGTATTCCTGTGGTGTGCACCTACCTATATACAGTGACCGTGCGGAGAGCAAAGATTAGTCATCATCAAGGTCTTTGTGCGCGCGGTTCGGCTACGCACGTCGACGCCTCGACGGCAATACCGGTTTTCTGTGCTCGTGAAGGTGTCCAAGTGTATATTAGTGCGTTCTTATGTATTATTATTGTTACTATGTGAACGTGTTGGCTGACTACAATATCATTATCATTGGTGGACCTATATTACACGACAGGTAGAAATTCGCGTACACCTGCAGCTACCGATAGTGCAGAAGAAGGTGCGCAAAATATTACATTATAGTTCTCGATCCGTCGCGGCGTCGCGTACAGGTTTAGACATCATCCGCCACCGCGTGTCTGTGCAATCCAGCAGATCTTCGCCGTTTCGTTTTCTAAATAATAAATATATTATATATGTTTAACTCCGCGAGTGTTTCGTGCTTAGCGAGTTCTTCGACTGCAAGTCTTTTGCCCAGGAAATCCGTTGTGCAGCGTAGGTAGGATCACTAGGATCACTTTATAATAATATCATACATACATAGCTGCAGTGCGAGTGACAGCGATGGATACCGTGCGGGCCGGAAGTGCCCCAAATTTAACCGCCCACATAGAAATGGACCGATTCGGCGGGATATCAAAAGCCGGTGAAAAACTCACTCAAAGGTATGTTTAAACATTCATCTATATATAGGTAAACTCCCAGTGGCTTATTTATGTGGCGGGAGGGGAGGGGGTACAAGGGCCTTCGATCTCTTTCCCATTGACTGAACTTATGTGGTATATGCTGTGTAACTAACATAGTAACTACTAACTACAGATGAGTATAGACAGTATAGTGACTATACTATTCCCCTTTTTTTAAAGAAAGTGTATACTTTTAAACTGCGGTGATTATTTGTTTTTTAGTGTATTTATATGATTACATATTTTAGTGTTCCGTGTATTTGTATGCACTACCACTATTATTTAATCTAAACACGTTCTACTAACTCCTAAACGGTTATTATATACCCTCTGTTATAAGTTTTTGAGTTTATATATGAGTTTATGGTCTACCTAACCGTACCTATATGATCAATGGACATGCCCCATACACATTATATCTTTATATCACACTAACTAAAGTTACTATACCCCTAATTAGATAAATATATCTAATTAGGGGTATATATTGAACATTTTATCGGTTATTCTTTAAAGTAGTATTTTTTTTTTATCATCATAAACTTTTACTATTATGGTATAGGTATAAGAAAATTATGTACAAAAACATACTTGTTGTAATAATTCAAACAATAATTATGCCTCTTAAGATTAAAAATATTCAAATATTTCCGTTTATTGAAGTACTATGTGAATATAAAAATAACTGATCCACACGAGAAATTTTTTAACTTGACATACTCAATATAGTAACTCATAGGTTAGGACTTATTAATAAATATGTCTTAATAATATTAAAAACAAAATTGTTACCCAGTGACTAACTATACTAGATAGGTAGTACACGAATATAACGTATATTTTTGTATTATACATATTTTATACCATGTAATATAATTGTGTTATATGCATTATAAATGTCCACGTTCACAATTAATAGTTCTATCAATTTTTATTACAAATTAAATTGATTATTATAATATGATCCGCCTATTATACCTAACTAAATAATAAATCTAATATACGCCTGTATTTATAAGTTAATTGTTACGATTTGATTGATTAAATTTTAAAGCTTAAATATATTGTACATCATTATCTTATAGATATATGCATATCATGTAATTTCTAGGTTTAATTAATTAATATTTTTTTAATAGACAGTAACGTTTTATTCCATAACATATTATAATATAATAATTTGTGTCATAATACTCATTGATTTATTTTTTAACCATATTATCACTTCTGATATAAATAACTCAATATTTTATTTATTATTTATTTTAATCTATATATTTATTATTACGATTTTCTTGTTAACAATATAACAATTTATTTATCAGGAAAAAAAAAAAAATAATATTACAGTAAACATTTTAAATAATATCTATTGTATTGAAAAACCAAAATTTATCAATCTTTTCTCATCTGTCAGATAACTCAAGTTATCTGATGGTTAAATGTGAATGAAAACCGGGCTTTATTTAATTATTTTTATACGTGATTTGTGAATATAAACATATAGACATAGGCGAAATATAAAAAAAACCAAATGGTGTTAAGCTATGCATTTTCTTATTTTAGATTTTTTATCTTAGGAAGAAGTTTTTGTTAGATAAACACGAACGTTATTTGCGGTTGATAATTTTGAAATTGGGGTGCTAATATCCGCAAAGTCCTGCCTCCCTATTTGCATCTATGTATATAAATTTATAAAAGTATACATATGATACAGTTAGCAGTTATCTATATTTTAATATAAGTACTAATTAAAATTTATAAACAATAAATCATCAGTTTTATATTGTATTCTCTGTAGTATTGTGCTACCGACATTACAGACATACTTATACTTACATTGCTCTATATACTTTGTATAATATATTATATACTTAAAGTTTATATAATATATATTATATAGTGTATACTATTACCATTAAAACTTGTAAGTACCTAGAACTTACAACCAATTAAGTATTATCCAACAGTCGACAGTAGTTTATCGTTTAAGAAATTTATTTAAATAATTCCAATTGTAGAAATATTAGAAATCAGTAAATTAGCCATCCCTGAGAATTTTAGAAAATTTTAAAAATGGTTTAAATGTTCTACGAATAAATGCAACCATATATTAAAATTCTAATTTGCGTAAAAGGTCTTGCTACAGTCTTAAATGTTATTTACCCACGACATCAACAAGAGAACATACCAAGCTTTATTATAGATTCTGTTTAAGTATTTCCTACACAGCTATATAACATATTGTAACAGAGTATACCTAACCTAACCATCCCTAAAAACAAACCTGACTGCTAGTTATAACAGCAACGCACGTTTAGTTAATTTAAAATAATTTTTCACCAATTGTCTTATATAGGTGCTATTATTCTCATTTAAAAGTTATAATAATGTCTATGCTGTCAACATTATATTATGATAAAATATGAAAACATTCTTTATTAGCCATTTTAAAATCAACTTAATTATTTATTTTTTATAAATTTAAATGATGATAAAATAAAACTAATACCTTTCTTAGAAATAGAATATCTGTTATTATATTGTTTTGTGATCTATTATTTTATATTTAGTTAATACGTATGGGATTTCTCAGTTATAAAAATTAGAATTTGAAAAAAAAAGTTGTATGACACTTTAATACAGT